CCTACAGGATACACCTGGGGGCCTCAGCGACGTGCCGCTGCTTGCAGAAGTACGTCTTGCTGCTGCTGCTTCTACTGCTGCTGCTGCTGTTGCTGCTGCTGTTGCTGCTACTGCTGCTGCTGTTGCTGCTGCTGTTGCTGCTGCTGTTGCTGCTTCTGCTGCTGTTGCTGCTGCTGTTGCTGCTACTGCTGCTGCTGCAGGCATACATTGTATGTGAATACCGTGTGTGTGTGTGTGTCGGTGATTGTTGTTATTTTAATTGTTGCTGCTGCTGCTGCTGCTGCTGTGTTTGTGTTGTCTCCTATTTATAGATTCTGCTGCGGCGGCAGCAGCTGAAGACAGAGAGCTTCGATGTCTTGCTGCGGCTGCTGCACAGACACCTGGACGCCATGGAGCCCCAAGACCTAGCTCGCCTAGCGCGCTTCCTTGTCTGTCTCCTTTCTCTCTCCTTCTGTCTCCTTTCTCTCTCTCTCTCTTTTATGTTTTCTTTCTGTCTCCTTTCTCTCTCCTTTCTGTCCCCTTTCTGTCTCCTTCTGTCTCCTTTCTCTCCCTTTTGTGTTTTCTTTCTGTCTCCTTTCTGTCTCCTTTCTGTCTCTTTTATGTTTTCTTTCTGTCTCTTTTATGTTTTCTTTCTGTCTCCTTTCTGTCTCCTTTTTGTCTCCTTTATATCTGTTTCTGTGTCCTGTCTCCTTTCTATCATCTGTGTCTTTATCTCCTCCATTCACATTTATTTTGTCTTTCCATAAGCTGCTGCAGCAAATATTACATTGTTTGCATCTGCTGCATCTGCTGCTGCTGCTGCTGCTGCTGCTGCTGCTGCTGCTGCTGCAGAGGGACGCCAAGGAGGCTTCGTTTGAGTGTGAGAAGCTGCTGAATGCTGCTAGCCGCCGCGTGCTGCGGCTGAGCCCTGTCTTCTCTGCTGCTGACCTAAAGGAGACTGTCTCCTGTCTCCTTGCTGCGGGGCCGCCGCTCCGTCGCTATGCTGTGCTGCTGCAGAGAGCAGCAGCAAGAGACAGGTAAGAATCCCGTGCTGCTGCTCCGTATACACACACACATATACACACACACACACATATATATATATATATATATATATATATATATATTTATATTTATATTTTA